TCTTATATTAGTGCGCAATAATTTTTTCTATTTTATAGTAGAGACATGGTCTCGTCTTGCTCAGGCTGGTTTTGAACTCCTGACCTTGAGCAATCTGCCCACCTCAGCTCCCAGAAAAGTATTGCTTTTGTTTTTGTTTTTTATTTTATTTATTTTTTTTTATTTCGGCATATTATGGGTACAGATTTTAAGGATTCAATAAATGCCATTTCCCCCCTCCCCCAAAAGTCTGAGTCTCCATCATGACACCCCCCAGCATGTAGCACATCTCTCACTCAAATTATGTATGTAATAAACCCGCCCCCCTCCCCTCCACCTGCCCAATACCCTATTACTTAGTAGCCCTATGTGATCCACTTAGCGTGCTACTCAGTTAATACCAGTTTGGCTGAGGAATATATCGGTGCTTGTTTTTTCTGGGTATTGCTTTTTTGATTAAAAGTCTTGTGTATTTGCTCAAAGTAGAAGGGATAATCTTTGGGAAGGCAGCTCTACAGCTAGATCACCATATGATGAGAACATTTTTAGGGAACTCATCACAGGCTAACAAATAGGCTCCAATCCTCAGCGTCTCAAGGTAGGCAGTGTATGTCTGTGATATTGTGAATAATATTTGGTTTTCATCTCTGTCGCTTGACTGCAACTCTCTGAAATCCTTGGAATCTCAAAGTGCTGTTCTTTTTGTACTTAATAAGATGACTGGTGGCTGGAAACCTCTAGGTAGTTTTCTGGATGGGGGCTGGTCAGTAGAAAGACCAAAGCAGAATTAGAGGGTGGGGATTTTAGTTTAGCCTCACCCCCACTTCTAGGCTGGAAAAAGGGAAGAAGGTTAAGTGATACCAGTGGCCAGTGATTAATATTGTGCCTATGTATCTGAACCTCCATAAAAACCCAAAAGCCCCAGTTTCATAAAATTAATCAGATGGCTGACACCTGGCAGTTCCTGGGGTTGGTGTGCCTGGGGAAGGGCATGGAAGCATCTACTTGCTTACATCTTTTCATTTGTATCCTTTAAAATATCATCATAATAACAGTAACATGTTTCTAGAGTTCAGTGACCCACTCTAGCAAATTAATTGAGCTCAGGAAGGTATATGGGAATCCCAATATACAGCTGGTCAGTCTGTACAAACAAGACAACCTGGGACTTGCAACTGGCATCAGAAGTAGGGGGCATTCTTGTGGAACTGAGCCCTCAACTTGTGGGATCTGACAGTATCTCCAGGTAGATAGTGTTGGAATTAACTTGAATTAGAATACAACCTGCTGGTATCCACTGCAGAAGCTGCCAGAAAATTGGTTGCTGTAGGGTGAAATCCCCACACACATTATGGTGACAAGAGGTCACAGAAGTGATTTGTGTTATAAAAGCATAATGGGGGCCGGGCGTGGTGGCTCACGCCTGTAATCCTAGCTCTCTGGGAGGCCGAGGCGGGCGGATCGCTCGAGGTCGGGAGTTCGAAACCAGCCTGAGCAAGAGCGAGACCCCGTCTCTACTATAAATAGAAAGAAACTAATTGGCCAACTAATATATTAAGAAAAATTAGCCGGGCATGGTGGCTCATGCCTGTAGTCCCAGCTACTTGGGAGGCTGAGACAGAAGGATCGCTTGAGCCCAGGAGATTGAGGTTGCTGTGAGCTAGGCTGACGCCACGGCACTCACTCTAGCCTAGGCAACAAAGCAAGACTCTGTCTCAAAAAAAAAAAAATAAAAAAAAAAATAAAATAAAAGCATAATGGGAAAAACTGAGTTTATTATTCCTATATTCTTATTTTTTTAATTTAATTTAATTTAATTTTTTTCCTTTTCTTTTGGCCATATGCTGCAGCAGAATATTCCTATTCTCCTAATGTCCATCCATGGTGGGTGTCTGTTTACTGAGGCCTTATGGGGAAAAGAAGTGCTTCCTCTGTGTTACTTACGCCTGTGGGCAGAATCACATGGGTGAACTAGAATGTCAACATAATTTACAGTGGGAAATACAGGTAGGCCAGATGCATGAGCCAACCTTGCCTGTAGCCTCTCCTCGCAGGCAAGCCCTATAGGAGGCCAGCTCATCAGTAGATAGCTTGGAGAACACAAAACAAGCACAGAGTTAATGTCAAAAAGTCTCTCTCCAAAGGCACTGGATAAGAAAAACAATTTTGAAAAAGAAGAATAAAGTGGGAGGAATTACACAGGCCAATTTCAAGATAGTACATAGCTTTCAGATTAAGACTGTGTAGGCCAGGCGTGGTGGCTCACACCACCTGTAATCCTAGCACTCTGGGAGGCTGAGGTGGACGGATCATTTGAGCTAAGGAGTTCGAGACCAGCCTGTGCAAGAGCAAGAACCGTCTCTATTAAAAATAGAAAGAAATTAGCTGGACAACTAAAAATATAGAGAAAAAAATTAGCCAGGCATGGTGGCGCATGCATTCTCTCAGGATTGCTTGAGCCCAGGAGTTTGAGGTTGCTGTGAGCTAGGCTGACGCCACGGCACTCACTCTAGCCTGGGCAACAAAGCAAGACCCTGTCTCAAAAAATATATATATATTCAAAATATTAATTAAGGAGGTACAAGTGTTTTGATTACATGGATATCTCGTCTAATGCTTAAGTCAGGGCTTTTGATGTGCCCATCACCAGAATACTGTTCATTATACCCAAGAGCTAAGTTTTTATGCCACACCCACCCTGAACGCACTTTTAATCTAGGATGTAAATGGTTGTGGGAAGGAATAGGGTGAATCTGACATGTTTACATGATTCCCAAAATAGAATCAAGAGGAGGCTAGCTGTACGAAACTGCAGAGCCAGCTTGAAAGTCTAGTACAGGGTGGGGAAACTTTCCATGTTGGAAGGCCGCATTAATTTAGCTGTAATTAAATAAGGCCACATTCAAGAAACTTCAATTTAGATACACTTGAAAATGCATATTATTTTGTAAAAATCTAACTACTATGTACTTAATAATTTCAAAAAATGAAAAGCATTGGTTAATTTTTAAAGTTAACGAACCGTTTAGTGACTTTGTTGTGTCTGCTTTTTGTTGGAAAGCATTTGAATATCTGGTTGCAGCATGAAGTTCTGCGGTTTCAGTTGATCCTCTACATCGGTACCAGTCATTTGTGACCTTAAGGGCATCTTGATTTGGGTCAGGTAGGAGAATGTAGATTTGCAGCAATAAGTGGTTGAAAAGCAAGAAAGCATTTTCCAGGCATGTTCCCAAAGGCATAGTTATTCTACTGCATTTTTCCATATTTCAGTTGGATCTTTCTTAGCATCAAACAATGACTTTAAAATGTCATCTACTGAGAGCTCAAAGTCCAGTTCCTCGTATAGTTGTTTTTTTTTGTTTTTTGAGACAGCGAGCGGTTGTTGTTGGCCCGCAGGCTAGAGTGCTGCTGCGCCTAGGGCTCAGCAACCAGACCTGATCTCAAGCAATCCTCGTTGCTCAGGCCTCCCAAGTGAGCTGGACTACCAGCAAGCTGCCCCCCCACCCCCCCGCCCATGCCAGCTACATGTTTTTCTGCTATATGGTGTTAGTTGTCAGATTGTCTCTACTTGTTAGTCAAGAGTGGGGTGCTAGGTCTTGCTCAGCTGGTCGGAACCTCGAGCTCAAATGGATCCTGCCTCTGGCCTCTCACAGGCTTAGGACTTAAGGTGGAGCCACAGCCTGCCGATTGTTCTTTAAGTGCCTTGCGTTGGATCATCCACACGGTGACATGAAAAGTACAGTTTGACTGTGGATGCCATGTTGTAATGCGGGTGACTTTTCATTGTAGTATATCCAATAGCATAGGTCGTGAACAGCTGTCGTATTCCTTCAATGATTTCATATCATGGTGGTGATCGCGGGTTAGATCGGAGGATGTGCCTGGTGAGTGAGAATGGAAGAGGAGTGTATCGGCGATAGTGGTTGCTTTTGAAGCGGAGTTTGAAAGGATGGAAGATTGATGTTTGTCTGAAAGCTTGGAGTTTGCGGGTTGTGTAGGTATATGGTCTATACTATAGACTTGTTTAATATGGAGACGTCGCAAAGAAATTTAAGGTATTTGGTTTGAGCCCATGATATCACACCCGCCAGACATGCTGCATTCTATGGCAATCTCCTCTGTCAATAATTCCACATGTGCTCTGCTTGAGTTCTTCGTTTCTTCATAAAATCGTGAGAGCTATTCGTCGTTTCACAGAGACGTAAAGATTGGGCTAACGCACCTGGTCTTGCAATACCGAACGCACTTGGAATGAGGCTGCGAAGTCCCACACACAGCTCCAGCCACCGACAATACGCTGCATCCTTGAGTTGAGCGGTGTTAGGAGAGGCTGCTCGTGCATGTTGGAGTTGCGAGTGGGCGGTGAGTAGTGAGAAGTAGTAACTGTGGCAACAGATGTCATTAAAATGAGGGTAGCTTTCGAGCACGAGCTGTTGCTGGTGCAAGAGTACGAATGAAAAGGAAAATGAAGAGCATCCTGGATTCTGATATTTTCTGTTGTCTGGACAAAAACCTTTCATGTGCTGTTCCTGTCATGCAAGACACGCGTCTGGTCAGTAACAGTACACTCACTAATGTACTCATAATTCGCAGTCAGGCTTCACGTGTGTGGGTATCGTTGAAGTTGTTGGAAGAGTGGTGCGAGGTCCTTGCCGTTCTTTCGAAAAGATGGCCGAAGACACGCTAACTACTCTGTCGCAAGTAGAATCTTCTGTTAATGCCGAATGAAGGTGATAAACCTACAGCAGGTCGAGTAGGTATCAGCTTTGATTCATCCCAAAGTGACTTGAATAAGCCTAGCATATTTTCCCTCTTGAGAGTTATTACGATGAAGTTGTTCTGTGTAAGTTTGAACGGCTAATTGCTCATGCTGCTGAGTCAGTTATGGCTCTGCCTGCGAAAGAAGCTGAAAGCGAGCAGTGGTCGTGTTCTTGGAAACGCCCAGTTGGATCTGACGCCATCTCCACATGCCTCACAATGTGAATTCTTTCAAAATGTCGTAGATCGCTGCAATGGTGCGTGTTGTGTGTTCTGTTTTGTTTGGGGGGGTTGGCCGAAGTACATAAGCTACTATCAATGGCTGTTCGAGTGCATTTCTTAGATGCTTTATGCTGCTTGAAACAATTGTCTTGCTTTTGCTTTCATCTGCTTTACACTTTCTGCAATTACAGACCTTTTTCGTGCCGTGCGTAATTAAAATATTTGTGGTCCTTTATCTTAGTGTTATACATGCTGGCTGCGCTTGAAATTTCGTTTAATGTTGATATTAAGTTTTTTTGTTTTGTTTTGTTTTGTTGAGAGTCCTCCGACGTTGTTGCCCAAGCTACAAGTGAGGTGCCCTTGGTGTCAGCCAGCCTCACAGCCAACCTCGAAACTCCTAGGCTACAGCTGATCCTCTGCCTCAACTTCCCAAGTAGGACTACAGCATGCGCCACCCTGCTGGCTGATTTTTCTTTTTCTCTTCTTTCTTTCCTTTTTTTTTTTTTTTTTTTGAGACATGAGTCGTCACTTGCTTGCCAGCTGAGTGAGTGCCATGTTGTCAGCCTAGCGTCACAGCAGACTCAAACTCCTGTCAAGCAATCTTTAACTGCTCAGCCTCCCGAATAGCTGAATACCAGCATGTGCCACCTCGCATGCCCGGCTAACTGTGTTTCGGTATATATATTAGGTTGGCCAATTATTTGTTTTCGTATTTATAGTAGCAGACCGGGTCTTGCTCTGTCAGGGTTGAACTCGCGCACTTCGAGCAAGGTCTGCCTGCCTCGGCCTCCCAGAGTGCTAGGTTTAGGCGTGGAGGCCACCGTCCCTGCCTGATAGTTGAATGGTGAGTATTAAAGTATACAAAGCAGGCAAATCATCCTTTCTTTAGGAGAACAAGATAAATTGCACCATTCCCGAAGTTCCTCATTAAAAAATCGTTTGTCGTCGCCACGGCACCGGTGCTCTAGCAGCCTAGAATCCTAGCACTCTGGAGACCCGCGGCGGCGACTGCTCGGAGGTCAGAGGTTCAAAACCAGCCTGATCAAGGAGTGAGGGACCTGCCTACTAAGAAATAGAAAAGAAATTAAGGGTTGGCCAACTAAAAACCTTTATCCGAAACAAATTAGCCAGCATGGGGTGGAGCATGCCGTAGTCCCAGCCTACGTCGGAAGCTGGGGCGAAAGACTGCTGTCGAGCCAGACGTCTGAGATTTCTGGAGCTAGTCGCTAATGCCATGCACTGCGACTCTCACCCCAGGCCACAGAGAACAGCTCTGTGTGCTCCAAAAAAAAAGAAAAATCGTTTTCTTCCCTTCAGCAGTTCGTTGTCTTCTTTGACATGATGCCGTATTAGCCGCGACGAATAAAGACTACTGTCAAAGAGGCGCAGTGCTCACTCCTGGAGCGCTTACTAGCGATTCAGGACGCGAGGCGTGGCGTATTGCTGGAGGTCAGGGTTCGAAAGCCAGCCTGAGGCAAGGAGCGAGACCCGTCCTCTACTATAAAGAGAAAGATTAAGTGGCGCAACTAATATAGCTTCGTATAGTGCCTGCGGATGGGGGTGCGCGGTGCCTGTATCTAGCACCTTGATGATGGGCTGAGGCATGAGGATTGCTTGAGCCCAGGAGTTTGAAGCTAGGCTGATTGCCAAGGCACGTCACTCTCGAGGCGCTGGGCACATTAGAAGCGAGGACTCTGTCCTCAAAAAAAAAAAAAAAAAGGAATACTGTCAAGGCTGTGCAGCTATCCACAAATTGCGCGTTCAAACAGAAACACAGTGCACTGTTTGCAAAAGCTGAGTAACGACTACGTGTACGACCCATAACTCTTGTCAACCAGCTCAGTCTGCAGTAGTGCCTGGGACGCCGTCAGCGAGGGGAAGCTAAACTAAATTCATGAGCAGAGCTTCAGATTAGCCCTTTATAGCTTAGTATGACTCTAGTTGTGCCAGGTCAGTCTGGAGGATTTTTTGTTGAAATGTTCTTATTCTTGTATTACATAGTGTTCATTTAAGAAATAAAATAAGATAGAAAGACAAACAAATGTGTACTTAGTACAAAAGTAAAAAGGATTTGCTTTGTAAAATTTGAATACAGTCAAGACGAGCCGCACTGGGCTGCGCGTGGCGGCGGGCCGCTGTAGTCCCAGCTTCGTCGGGAGCTGGAGAGACGGAGGTCCCTTGGTCCAGGCAGTCGGGTGTAGCTGCGCTATGTCGATCGGTTGCCGCACTAAGTGCGCGCTAATATGGTGGACGCCTCCCGGAGCGGAGCCACCAGTTGCCTAAGGAGGGGGAAACCGCCCAGGTCGGGAAACGGAGCAGGTCAATACTGCCCGTGCTGACTCGACTAGTGGATCGCGCGCTGTGAATAGGCCATGCACCTCCGAGCCGGGCAACGATGAGCGCGACCCGTCTCTGATTGTAAAAGAAAAAAAAAAAAGAAACAAAAAAGGCGCACTTAAAGATCTAAGAGGCACATGGCCTTAGCTGCAGGTATCCCGCGCCTTGTCTGAGTACCTTATTACTGTATGCCTCAACTGGCTCGTTGACAGTGCACAGAAGACAACTTTCATGTGGAAACCATGAAAACATTCGTCATTCATGAGTTGAGCTTAGAAGCTTCCAGACTGAATGATAGAGAGAGTTTTGGAATACTGCATCTACTTATTTCCACGTTACGTACTTTCGCCTTCTTTAGCATATAGTGCAAGGGGTAATACCTCAATATATTACTGTTAGATGTAGTACGTAGTACTTTGTAATCACATGATTATGACAATTGGTAAAAATAATTTAATAAATACGTGTCTCATGAAGACTAAAGGAGCTTTTTCAGTAGTATGAAATAAGTGATGAAAAACCACTGTGTCTTAATTTCCTTGGCAGTGTTTTCTTCTACGTGGCATATAGAATAATGCTGTGGCATACCATGGATGGCATCTTAGACCTGATGAATACACTGCTGTTTCACATAAGCTGAAGCCAAAAAGAAAAGAGTTTAAAACACAGTGACTGTGCTCTGGCTCCTCTTCACCGTTAACTCTTGGTTCTGTCTTTATCACGTGACTTTATCACGTGACATCACCTCAGGATGGCTCCCCTCATAGTCCAGAATGGCTGCAGCAACGTCAGCAATCACATCAAAGCACACGAAGAGCTAGTGCCCAAAAAGGAGCTGTGTTTTTCTTACTTTTTTGTTGGTTTTTTTTCACAAGTGATAACATCTTTCCCAGAGCTCCTGCAGACTTCTGCTGTTCTTCCATTGGCTGAGAGTTTATCACATGCTTATTCCCATACCCATCACTGACAGGGGAAGAAACTACCAAAAATGGCTTGGACGGGTCAGGTCTTGCCTCTTGGAGCTGCCAATGAGGCCCATGCTCTGAGCATAGACTATACACAAGTGAGAGGACACTGGGACTGGGCAAACAGAGGCTTTTCTAGGAAGGCCAGGTGGACAAATGCATGCTGGGTGGCAAACAACACCTGCCAGAGATTCCTAATGACTCTCCAAGGGCAGCTTCGTTCCTGAATTATTACTATTTTTTTAAAATTTTTCCTTTACCGCAGAATAACACAGATAATTGCTGAATTATCAAAGGACAGAAACATTTCAATGTAATCAGTCTTCCCATCCTAAAACTTTCAGTTTATTTTAATTTCATTTCAGCCTCAGCCTCATCTTTCCCATTATTAATAATGTTGCTTTTATTTCTGATTCATAAAATTACTACCATTAAGGATAATTTATTTTATTTTATTTTTTTTAAGAGATGAGGTCAAACTGTATTGCCCAGGCTGAAGTGCAGTCACACTGATCACAGTTCACTGCTACTCCTGGGCTCAAAGAACCCTCTTGCCTCATCCTCCCCAGTAGCTGGAATTATAGGTGTGAGCCACTGTGCTCAGCTACCCATTCCAGGGTATATTTTTCATAGCTCAAAATCTAAGTGTTGCTCTATTTAGGCAAATTGAACCAAACGTAGATATATAGAAGAACACATATTTGATGTTATACATTTGCACTTAAACCATATCATAATTGTTCATGGTTTGACTATGCCATGAAATAAAATAAATTATCTTTATAATCCAGTTTAAGAAAATAACATCTTTCTAACTTTTGGAATGCCAGTGCTTTGTAAGCTTTTGAGTAATGTTAAAAGGTAAAATTACATGCAGTTTATTCTTGAGATCTTCTCCATGTCTCAGTAGACTGTCCAGATAACAAAATCCTTCTTCACCTAGTAAAGGATCTAATTTCGTAAACTCTCCATGACACAATATATCTCAGCCTCACTCTGTGAAATCCCCTAATTGTATATGATTTCCAGAACAGGGAGAAATTTGATCTTGTAGAATAACAATGGTCTGCAAGGGAAAGCAGAGACCACACAATGGACAGTCATTACAAACCTATTTCCTAGACAAATACTTAGAAAGATCCAGAATGCCCCATTTAGTATGGTGGTATCTGTTATGTCGCTCTGTTCCTTCATAAGTGACTTTCTTTATTAACTGAATACATAGATGACTCTTCTTGGTTATGCTGTTGGACACACAGTTATAACAAGAGTATGCAATTTTTTTTGTTTGAGACAGAGTCTCACTTTGTTGCCCAGGCTAGAGTGAGTGCCGTGGCGTCAGCCTAGCTCACAGCAACCTCAATCTCCTGGGCTCAGCGATCCTACTGCCTCAGCCTCCCGAGTAGCTGGGACTACAGG